GCTTGATGGACCATCTCTGCACGCTTGATTCAGTCAGCACAGTAATTCCTGTTTTTAGTCCAATAATACTTGTTAGTGGCTCGTGGATGCCCGTACAAGTACTTATTAAATTGCTATAATGAAAATGTTGAAAAACTTCTGATCTCTGCCAATCGTACTGGTGCAGCAATAATATTAGCTAGTTTGGATCCATAGGTGAAAAACATTATGCAAATGACGACCCTGTGATGATCTATCTTCTTAAGATGAGGGTATTGATCTTGAGATCGGTGACGATCCCGCTCTTAATTGTCGGTTCAACGTTGGCTGGACAAAATTTTGGTGAGGGAGATAGTACCCTTGTAGACACATCACATGGATTATGTGTCATGAACTAATGCAAGCCCTGTTCACTAACAGCGGTAGATAGGATCTGTACCAAAGTCTGAATATCAGACTGAGAGAGCGCCAAGTCCGTTAAGATCTTGGCTGTCATCACTGAACCGACAGGAGCAATGAAAGATGGAGATGACTGTCGTATAGTCACCTAACTAAGCACGCCTGTCATCATACCACGACATCTACGAAGTGTACCTTGATCTTGATCCTGACTGTCAAAGTTAATCTGATCCTAGTGAACCATAGACTCAAGGAGAGTTTGTAGATCCCACTGCTGGCCGTTGTGATGATGATCCTCCAAAGTCAATCAATGATGCCGATCTGGACTGTCCAATCGACGTTGATCATGCCATGTGATCATGCCAATGTCGATCCCTTGAAGAAGTATATCAATCTCAGGTGAGGGGAATTGATGTGGATCAGTTGAATGTTGATCCCTTGAAGAAGGGAATTGATGTGGATCAGTTGAATGTCGATCCCTTGAAGAAGTATATCAATCTCTGGCGAGGGGAATTGATGTAGATCAGTTGAATGTTGATCCCTTGAAGAAGGGAATTGATGTGGATCAGTTGAATTTCGATCCCTTGAAGGAGGGAATTGATGTGGATGTGATGTGGGTACCCGGATGTGGGTACCCGGGTCCTACTCAGTACCCACCCGACCCGAGGTATGTGAATTCTTGGGAGATGTATGTCAATTCTTGGGAGAGGTTTGTCAATCCTTTGAAGAGGTATGTCAATTCTTGGGCGAGGTATGTCAATTCTTCGGTGAGGTATGTCAATTCTTGGGAGAGGTATGTCAATTCTTGGGAGATGTATGTCAATTCTTGGGAGAGGTTTGTCAATCCTTTGAAGAGGTATGTCAATTCTTGGGAGAGGTATGTCAATTTTGGGGAGAGGTATGTCAATTCTTGGGAGAGGTATGTCAATTTTTGGGAGAGGTATGTCAGTTCTTGGGAGAGGTATGTCAATTCTTGGGAGATGTATGTCAATTCTTGGGAGAGGTATGTCAATTCTTGGGAGAGGTATGTCAATTTTGGGGAGAGGTATGTCAGTTCTTGGGAGAGGTATGTCAATTTTTGGGAGAGGTATGTCAATCCTTTGAAGAGGTATGTCAACTTTTGGGAGAGGTATGTCAATCCTTGGGAGAGGTATATCAATTTTGGGGAGAGGTATGTCAATATTTTGGAGAGGTATGTCAATCCTTTGAAGAGGTATGTAAATTCTTGGGAGGTATGTCAATCCTTTGAAGAGGTATGTCAATCCCTTGAAGAGGCACGTTGATCCCTAGATGGGGCATATCGATCCCTGGGAGAGGTATGTCGATCTATGGGAGAATAATGTTGATTCCTTGAAGAGGTATGTCGAGCCCTGGGAGAGGTATGTCGATCCTTGTGAGAGGTATGTCAGTCACTTGATGAAGTATGTCATTTTCTCGTAAGAGGGTTGTCAAAGTTGATCCCAATTGTGGCTGTTAGTGTGATCATCACAACACTGTAAATGGGTTGTCAATCTCAGTTTCCTCCATAATCCTCTGATGAACATGGAGGAGGGTGCAATCGATGTCGATCTGTTGATTTTGGAAGTGAACTCGATTACGGCTGCTGTCGATCGAGGAGTAGAATGACGAGGTAAGGCAGTCTGTCTGTGGTCTTACAATTCTCTCTAATGAAGAGGCAAATTTTCAATCTAAAGGAACGCACAATAGTGTTAGAGCTGAGGCAATCCTTCTGGTTTGATGGGGAAGAGGAATGACGATTGTCGGTCAAGTCTCTAGCTGCCCTATATATGTAGAATCGTCATGATCTTTGGTTGTGGGAGTAGTAGACAATTTTGAAGTAACTAATGAACTTTAAGTTAGATCAGCTGTGAGGAATGACACTGAGTTGATATCTTCCTCTACAAGGAGAGTTGTAGAGGTAGTTGACTTTGACAATGGACAATGGTCAATGGAATATTTAGTTGTACTGCTATCAGCGCAGTTCACATAGTTTGTTTTGCAGCAAAAGGAGCATAGTGTGAATCCTTGCTAACCGATTTAGATCTGCCCATATCAAGTATTTGAAAAATATGTCTCCTCACTAAAGCGATAAGAAAGAGAATGAGTAAGCTTGCGACATGATCATGTGATCAAGCTGCGCAGTCCATTGTTAGTGATGGTAACCATGGTGATGGCTGGGGTGTGTTTGAGTAAGGTGTTGGTAACCAGCGTAGGGATTATTTCGAGACCAGGATGATGGATGAAAAGCACAGTGTCAGATAGGATAATAACACAACATGAATTGTTCTACATGTGTCAGTTTTATCTTCAGGGAGAAGTGTATGTTATGACATCACTAAATTATGATGTTACAATGCAACTGTACAGAAACAGTTAAATGCTGTGATGCAGTGTTGTCATGACATCACATTAACAGCTTAAAATGACATTGGTAACATTCACAATATAATATAAATACACTGAAAGGCAAAAGAAACGTCACTTCTGTAAATATTGATAAAACTTAACAGACACTGGCAGTTACATGTACTGTGGTCAATAAACTCATTTATCGTTCTACTGCTTCTTTTTGTTGCCTCAAAGTCTATTTTTCAATTGAGTTTAAAATGGAGTGCTTTGCCACAACGCAGCCTACAAAAGTGCAATGGGACTCTTGTCTTGTCAAAAACATGATGCATGTGCATATGGTGGATAGTATGGGTATAAAAGACAACCCAAACTGTTAAGCTGGCTTAGTTATTTCGATTCATCAGCCATGCCAAGATTATCAGGAAATGAGAGACAACAAGCGATCGGAAGACTGCAAGCAGGCCAGAGTGCACAGGTCGTTGCAAATGCATTCAATGTCAACGTCAGAACGTTATATTGTTTGCAACATCGCCACAACACCACCAACACCACTGACGACCGACCGCGTAGTGGTCGTCCTAGAGTCACTACTCCCAGACAAGATCGGTTCATGATACGCCAACATTTGCAGAACCGATTCCGAATGGCCACTGAAACAGCTGGGCAAACCATTGGCTACAACCAGTGTGCCATCAGTGATCTACAGTCCGACGTGGCCTAACTGCCAACAACATCTCGTGCCACCGTCCTGCTCGTGTACCCATCCTGAGAGATCGTCACAGACAGGCCCGACTACAATGGGCCAGGCAGCATCAAAATTGGCGTCAACAGCAATGTAGAAGAATCATCTTCACTGATTTAAGTTGCTGCTGTGTTTCAACGGTGGATGGCAGAGTCAGGGTCTGGCGAAGGAGGGGCAAATGTTATGCTGATGCTTGTGTTATGGAACGAGACCTGTGGGGCGGCCCAAGCATCATGGTTTGGGGTGGACTTGGACTGAACCAGAGAGTGGGACCTGTGGTCTTTCAGAATATTGGTCCAGGCAGGGCTAATGGCATCACAGCTCTCCACTACATTGACCAAGTCCTCAGACCCCATATCGTGCCTTTTTTTGCCCGTCATCAAAACCACACCTTTCAGCAAGACAACGCCTGTCCCCACACTGCCAGAGTCACCAGGGACTTCCTCCAGCAGCACAACATCCAAATCATGCCTTGGCCTGCCCTCATTCCAGATTTGAATCCCATTGAACACTTGTGTGATGAGATCCAACGCTGACTCAGCGACGTACGCCCAAGGCTGACAACTTCAGCAGAACTGCGTGTAGTGTTCCTGAGGATATGGGCCCATATCCCAATGGCCTTCATCAACAGGCTAGTCCACTCCATGTACAGGAGATGTTTGGCAGTAGTCAACGCCCGTGGTGGCCACACCAGGTACTGATTTTGACAGCTGTGATGTCTTCTGGTGCCTCCCCAAATTCACAATTCGCAAAATTATTCCGCAGACTGTTAATTTCAGTCAAACACTGACTTTCTCCGATTGTCTCTACTTACATATATAAGCATTTGAAAATATAGATATTTATATGATACATCAACATGACGTTTCTTTTGCGTTTCAGTGTATATTCCATACACATTGTGTTACCTATTTAAGATGGACACAACTTTTTAATGACAAAGTTTTTTTTAACTTTATGCTGCATGGTATAAACGGTATTCATATTTAAGAAAGGAAATATCTTAACTTTTATCTCCATTCCGGCTGCATCTCATTCGAAGTGAGATGGGATGTACCTTGTTTTGAGGTTCTTTATCTGTTGTTTATGAACGCTCATTCTGTCCCTAATTAAAGCACTCAGTTTGTCCAATTTATTCCTCATTACACCACTGCCATATTATAAAATAAATAATATATTTGCAGAGCATTCCAGGTTAGAGCATACATGAAATAGTTATGGCTTGATGTTTACTTTTTATCATTGTTACATAAGCCATGATTTGATTCATTTTAATATCAACATTTAATGTTAAATCTAAATGCTGATATCAAATGCGCCAAATTCAACTCAAGTATTAAGTCTACAGAATTCAGGGTATCAAAATGTAAACAGGGAGTTTGTGAAGCTTGTGAATATATAGTTGAAAATAAATGTATATAATTTTAAAAAATCTACTGTTGTTTTTCTAAACATATCTAAACTATCCACCTCCAGCAACACTGGTAAGTTCCAGCAATTCCATTGAAGCTAAATTTCTGTTGTACATTACCAGCTGTTTATAGTTGATGCCCAGACCACCACCAATGTTGATATATTTGATATTATTGAATCCTCTGGTCTTCAGTTCACTTTTCAGTGAAAGCAGTTTCATTGTACACAATCTGTGGACAAAGAAGTTTGGATTTATTTTGTTGCATATCAACCCTTGGACTCTGACTGTCTTCAAGACTAGATATAATTGTTGGGATGTCTTCTGTGATCATGGAAAACATTCACTGCTTGATTGATGGATGATGTACAGAGTGTCACCTGCTTGAAATGATATATAGTCCCAACAATGCCTCATGGCACATACTGTAAAAATGTTCTGGTATAACATCAAAATCAACATACCAAAATAAGCATATTTTATTCGAGATGCATACAAAAATGGCTGACTATTGGATAAAATCAGATCAGAATTCTATGAGAAATGTTTAGAGACACCAAGGCATATGCACTGTAACATCCATTTAGTCACTTAATAAACAAGCATAAAAAAACTCACATCACCCGCCAGTATGGCATGTCTGGGTATTAGCCCATGTGAACTATGTTCACTGGACCTTTTTGTAAATGGCCTAATTGTACGCAATAAAAAAGTTATTACTGGTGTTTTTTGCCATCTGCAGTTTATGATACAATACATAACTGTATTTTTAATGAGTTGTGTTATTACATAAACAATAATTAGCGAAGTAAGGGAGTTCTTACTTTACTTAGAGATCATTGGGAGCAGGGGTCACCATGAGGTGTACTGAGAAGTACAGCACCAATCATCTGATGATCTGAGTAGTAGGCTGGAGTGTCACAGCACTGGCATGATCAGTAAACAAAAAGTCCAGTGTAGCTCCAAGACAGTGAGTTGTGAATGAGGTGAGTCATATTCTGCACATTAAATAAATCTTCAAATTTTAGTTTTCACTCAGATCACAGTTGAAATCCCCAGTAACTTGGGCATGTTCACATTCAAGCTGCTTGGATCCTGAAGTTTCTGCATGAAATCAGTAAGTGAATGTGACAACCATGTCAACAACACTTTTGGAGGAACATACACACAAGCAATGCAGAACTGGCCAACAAGAAAGGAAATGTATTTAATTCAGTGAGACGAGTTACATCACATTGCTGGACACTGTTCTTGAAACACATACACAGCCAAACCATGTGTAGTGTCTCCTGTATGGACTTGATATCCTTGGAGGTCTCTTTCACTATAATAATTGATGTGAGTTTCTGTGAAACACAACACATGAACCATACCAACAAACTTATCAATTTGCACATCTTCAAAATGAGTATTGAGTGATGAAACATTCAAGTGAGCCACCTTGAATCCATCACCATGACTGTTCTCTACAGGGTGTGTCCAGGTGAATAGTCTTGCTTTCTGCATTCTAGTCATCTCATCCAATATACTTTTTTGTTTTCTACAATTTTGCAAGAATCAGATCAAAGACAAAATTTAAAATATGTCGAGCCCCACTAGTAATAACACATGGTACAAATTCTAATGCCTTTTGAACAAAAAATGACTGTGTAATGGTCATACATAGCTATTTCAATATGGCGGGCCATGTTTAAAATCCGATTTGAACCTCTTGGAACAAATAGGGGTCTCATCATTGGTGGGAACAAGCATGTGAAGCATCACTGCTTCCGTGGTTTCTGTGGAGAAGATGTTCATGACGGGTGACTCACAAATATTTAGTATTTTCCAGCCTTATCTAATTTTCTATGCCTTAAACAAATTTGGTACATCATATAGAACCCATTTTACACACTAAGTTTCAGACTTCTGGCCCTTTAAGGTTTTGAGAAGAGGATTTTTGAATTCATATTTCATGAAACAAAAATAGCTACCTGGCAGCCATATTAAATTCCAATTCTGATGCCTTGAACAAATTTGAACCCTCTTTCAGTACCAAACATCCACAAACCATTTCAACTGAATCCACTTAGACGAAGAAGTAAGAACTTATAAAGTTTATAGATGCCAATGTTACTAATATAAGCGGCCCTCAATTTTCTTTTGTTCAGTTTTCAATTTTTGAATCAAGAACTTTGTCAAAATATTTGTCAAAGATCAATCTAGAATTGAAGTTGACAGTTTGAAACTAGTGCTGCAGAGCTAAAGAAAACTGTTTTCTGGTCGGCTAGGTTAACAGCATATGATTACAATCAGAGATCACGTGAATGGAGTCAAGACCAGAAGTAACTTCATCAGAACTGGAAGTAACATCATAGTTGTCACATTATGGAGATTTACGTGAGCTGAGAAGGCTACGTATATGCTTTGAAGATGTCACAAGTGGGAATCGGATACAAACCTAACTGTAGCTCTATTAAAGTTCACCACATATTTGCATATGTCACGAATCAGACCATTCATCAAACAGATGTTCATGTTTCACAAAAGTATTAAATGTCACCAACATGAATCACTTTGGGCTTTATAGTCACATATCTCTTATATACTGTTTAATGCAACATCATATTGCTGCATATAAATTTGCAACATCTCTTTGACAACCCCATGTAAATTGATATGAGGTCACCAAACCTATAGAGCTCTCTCACCTGAAAACTGAAACATTGTGTATGGTTGATCCCAGATGACAGTGAAGACCAACCAGTGTGATCTGACTGCACTTTTCGAGGAGAGTGACACATTCTTCAAGATCTTCAGTGTTTATTCCAAACTTGGAGTTTGCTAGACCAGTACTGATGAATGGGTGCACTTGCTGTAAAAAGATAACACTGTAAGTTTTATCTGTTACACTGAATGAAAGTTTTATCTGTTTTCTTGACAATGCACAACTGTGTAAACATATACACTGTAACAGAAGTTGAACGTAACCATCTATCACTCACTATCAAAACAAGGCTTAAATTATCATTATCATCATATATCATCGTGTGTTTACAAACACACAGCTCTCCTCATTTCAACCTAGATGTCCTGAGTTAAGTATCATGTTTTTCCTTCATATAATGTACACTATTTTCCAAATAGTACAAATATCTTAAAGATGTTTGTAGTATATTTGCAATAATGAGTTTTCATTTTTTACCCTAAGCGATATCATTACCAATAAATCTGTAGTGAATTACTCCCGTCCTGTTATAACATCATTCTGGTCATAAAATGTTCAGTGTATTTCTGGTTTTAAGGTAATCCATTTCATCTGTTTAAATACTGAATTCAATTCAATATTGTGTATGAGTTGATCAGCAGTGTCTCATGTGACAACTCACCATTATTTACACAAAACACAACCAGGGTACCACATTTGGTGCCTTGAAAAAAAACCTTTGTTGTCACAAAATGAACAGATATCATTTACATATAATTTAACTTAAAATAAGTCCTAAATGTTGTTGTTTGACTATTGCAAGTCAGTAGAGTTTATTTGTTTGTGTACTATCATAGCTAGGGGTGTTGTGCTATTCACAAATGATGACTGATTGATCTTAAACAAACTTTTACACAAACGAAAAGGAACACGTGAAACAAAGTGTATATGCTGGGGATTTAATTTTATCTTCAAAGCAGCCACTAACATAACAATATGGATGAATATTTCACCAGGGCATTTAGTCATTTTTATGGATATATATATTTGTGTCATTTATTTTGTTAATTGTAGCTTAAACTGAAATGTACTTTTTTAAATATCTGCTATACCAACATTCCATAAAACAACAAATACAAACATCTGCTTCACTAATTTGTAAACAGGATTCCAAAACTTTTCTGATATTGAACAGACACACCGTGATTCTAAATTCCTAATATGACACAGGCTCAATAAGAATTCATTCCAACAAAATGTACCCTTTATCAACAAAAATATAATTTTTAGTATTGATACTTATGTTTCACTACTTTAAACATACCTGCTATTCCCACATTCAGGTAAATAAGACAAATTAACCTAAACAAGTTTGTAAATTCCTAAAGTCTATGATGCTTATAAAGTAAAGGGAAAGTAAAGGCCAAATCTTTCTAAAATATCCATAGAAATTTGAAACTATAATCTCAGATTGCTGATGGATCATATCAAGATAGGGCAAGTAGAATCTTGTGATATCCTGGACAACTTAAAATATGTACAAAATTTCTGCAGATCTCCAGATATATATATATATGCGTCAGCGTTCTACTTTACAATAGAGAATATCAGGAGATCGCACTGAGTTACAACAGGTTACTCACTCTTTTAACCTTGCCGCTTGGGAAGATTTACTTCCCGATGAAGACGCAGATAGACTCTATATATATGATTGTGATGAGAATGGGTTCAAGCTTGAGGATTCTGACAAAGTAACTTTCGAACAGTATGAATCTAGAAATCATAGATCAAAGAAAATTAACTGAGAGCCAGATTAGGGGAGAAATTGAAAATAGAAACATTTTTGTAACCTGTAATTATTAGTGCTCTGGGAGCTATACCGAAGTCTATACTACATAAACCCAGCAAACACACTGGTATTGGGCTGATGGTTGAATGCTGGCATGTCATAGTCGGCATGCTGATATTGTGCCAATATTGTGCCAACATTGCATACTATGCAAAAACAGAAACGTATAAGTAGTAAAATCGTGAGTGTTGCCAACATTTATACAAAATTAATACCAAAAATGAATTGGTTATTTCTGCATGGATAGGGACTGATTTGTGTGGATTGAATGAGGTACTGCAAAAATGAGGTGAAAAGACGGAAAAATCACTAAAACACAACCACGTGACAACACGTGACCTTCCCAGATCCGGTCGACTATGTATCACTACCAGAGCACAGGACAGATTTATACGGCTGCAACACTCATGTGAAAACACCACCATGGCCACCTTACAACTACAGCAATACGATGATTGCGTAGGATATCACCCCAGACAGTGAGCAACCATTAGCGCTGAAGGTATTCACGTTAGACAACCAGTTAGGAGTGTCATTTTGACGGACCTGCATCACTGGTCACAAAAGACAATGCCTGACTTCACACGGCAAGAGTGACAACAGCCTTTTCCAGGAATCACAACATCCTGGTCCTGCCATGGCCCACCAGTTCTCCTGCTTTAAACCCAATCTAACTTTTATCGGATGCACTAGAAAGCAAGCAAGCAACAATAACAGAACCTCTAACAATTGGCACAAGCACTGCAGGCAGAGTGGGTGAACATTCCACAGGCAAAATTCGGGATCTGATTGCTTCCATGGGACGACGTTGCCAGTCAGGTTTGGACTCTAGTGGTGGCCATATAAGATATTGAGAAAAGATGACCTTCACCTTGAAAATCTACTGTTCCATGTGTGCCATATGTAACAATGACAACGATGTGTGCCAATTTTGAACAATCAATTACCATCTGTTGGTTATTTATAGGATATATAAAATACACATCTAAAATCACTTTTGAGTTTCTTTTTTTTGCAGAGTATATAAACCTCTATAATCTTAAAATTTATATTTTTTAAAACATTAAAAAAATAACAAACAACTAAAACTTAGTTTGATTAATTCCGTCAACACTCTTCACCTGTCTTTTGTGCAACCGAATGATATAAATACATATTCACTACGATCCTTTTGTTGGCAAACGTAGATTGTGTTTAGTGGACACTAGTTAGTGACTTGAGAAATTATTTATGTGAAAATTATCTGGATATTTTCTGTTCTTTTGCTTTTGACAAAGGTATTGTTATAAACTTATTATCAATTGCATATTAACTGATTCAATTTCATTGATATAAATAATCACAAATTAGCTTTAGTTAAGCTTGGATATCTGCATATAAACAACACATTGTTTTAAGAGTGCATGTTCTGTATGCAAATCTTTATTAAGTGGATTGAAATATTTTATTGCTACAAGCTAAACGATAATAATGGATTTGACATTCTACGGAGACAGGTTCTACTGGCCAGGAATGGCAAAGGACGTGGATCAGTGGATTCAGACTTGTGATCAGAAGAAAACCTACACAAAACAACGTAACATCTATTGCCACAAGCCAGCCTTGGACCTTGTTTGCATTGACTTTCTTTCCCTTGAAATGTCTATAGGAGGATACCAGCACATTCTTGTACTCACTGATCATTTTACAAGATATGCCCAAGCATTTCCAACCAGGAGCCAGACTGCCAAAACCACTGCAGAAGTCCTTAACAATTGTATTGTTCACTATGGCTTTCCCCTTAGACTGGACTGGCAACTTCGAAGCAACCTTATCAAGGAACCATGCAAATTGGCTGGAATTGACAAGAGAAGGACAACACCATATCACCCACAAGGAATATGGAATGACTGACATATTCAACCGCACTTTAATTGGGTCTCTACAGCCATCCAAGAAGACTAACTGTAAGTCCTACGTTGCACCACTTGTGTACAACTCGGTACGACATGAGTAACCAGGACAAAGTCGCTTCTCCTCATGTTTGGATGACATCCTCGCCTGACCGTGGATGTTGCTATAGGTACTGGTGAGGAAGTCAGCAGCAGATTGCATGAGGATAAACTGGCAGACAGGTGGGAAAATGACACCTATGTTGTCGTGGATCAACCTAATCCAGACATTCCTGTGTACTGTGTATAGAATGGATGAATCTTATCGAAATGATGAACATAGCAAAGTTTATTCTTTATCCAGTTTCATTCTTTAATTTTAATCAAATACCTTTTATGAACACCAGTTGCAAAACTATCAATGTAGTTAGTGGTGTGTTATCAATGAGTATTTTGGGTTGGTGCTTTCTTACAATAAGCAGAATAAGTTCTTTTGTTATTCAAAGCTGTATTTAATATGCATTATATGTTTAATTTTTATGAGCAAATTTAGACCGATCTTAAATTTGCAGTGGTGTTTACAAGTCATTTTAGGCCATTCAGTAAAACCCTACGGACCTTGACCAAACATGAGCAACTCACTAACAATTAGTAACCAGTCATAGATGTTGACAGTAATTGGTGCTTCATGCCACAAGCACTCTACTAGAACCTTGGATTCAGCCACCTCGGTTGATTTTGAAAGTAAGGTTTTTAATCAAATAAAAAGATAGAACTTACGGGATCAATATCCGGGTTAATGCGAAGCAGCACATTCGAGTTTTTTCTCAGTTTTTGACACATACGCATCGTCTGCATCAAATCAAACGGACTGTCAACGTTGATGAGGCAGCCTTCTTCTATTGCCAGGAGTCTTTCCCAGTCCTGTTTCCCATTGCCGTTGAAAACAGTCAGTCGTGGATCAAAACCAAGCTTGAGAGCCATTTTCAATTCCATTCCACTAACTAGTGTGACTGAGCATCCCATGGATCGAACAATCTGAAGTATAGCCGGTGTATGATTGGCTTTCATAGAAAAGTTGAGCAAGGTTGAAATGTTCAGCATTTTCAACGCAGTCTGGTACGCGCTGATATTTGACACGATCTTTTCTTTGCTGTAGACGAAGCATGGCGAAGATGGAACGATACCGTTTGTTGATAAATCGGTCTGTATGTCTTTCACTCTAACATCCTCACAATATAGAAACCCATTCCTAAAGGTAAATCCCCGTTTCTCCATATTTCGACAGGGTAAGGCAAGGGCGCGGTTGCGATATTCTTATCATGTGATATCTGATATCAAGTAGGTCAGTCAACAATGCGACATTAGATGTCAACGACAAGATACGGAAATAAACCACGATCACGATCCTCATTCGTGGGCGAATGGGCATACATGTGTTAATTATAACATCATATTTATGTCCCATTTGGAAACAATTTGTCTCTTTTATCGGAAATAGTAAAATGTAATTTGATAATCGCTCAGGTTATGACATGTGACAATGATAGTAAAATAGGTCAACAGCCATTTCGTCGGAACATTATTCGTTTGGTGACCACGGGTATTGTGGACTGAAACGACCAGAACTTCTTCAACATGTATTAAGTTCCAGTAGCAGGAAGACAAATGCTGACTTGTGCCTGGTTAAAACATGCTTTATCCAGACGTGTTACGTCACACAGGCATGTGCTCACATAGTAAGTACTTTGAGAAAAATCGCCAGATTGGACCTTTCCTATGAACACATTCTGTGGATAGTAAACAGTAGCAATAGGTGTGGGATACATCGTAAATGACCTAGATAAGAATATGAGTTCACGAAGAGGTATGGTAATAATGTGAGCAAACAACTCCACATATTGAAGCTATGGAAATGACGAGCCAGCTGTGGAAATGCTACGAGCCTCATACATGTGTGTGCGTGCGTATTAAAGGATTCTTGACCAGATAGTACAATGAGAAGCGATCCACTCTGTCGGGGTACTATGACACAGCATCAACCAAGTCACCGAGGCATGATCATCTGATCCAGTTTGTCGCCTCTTACAACTAGCATTTACGTTTGGGGACCACTTCTAAAAGGAAATGGTATTCATCTTCAATTGCACCATGATTACATTCGTTGCACTTACGTAAATCATTTTTTAACTTTTGGTTATAACCAAACTGTTCAATACTCAGCCTGTAACATCGGAATGTACATAACATGGGGATAAGATCTTTATTCGGGCATAACTCCAAAATGTTTTTCTCTAGTACACACTTATGATGTAAAATAACGATTTAGAAATGATGAAGAAACAATGTCGGGTATGACATTTCTGAATCTCTATGTCTTTGCTCAAAACGCTGTATAAAATTGTAACAAATGTTATATTTGGGATAACACTTTCTTAGTAAAGTACAGATCTAGTACTTTTTGGGGTTGAGTCCCATCCGGGAATAGCCAGCACACAAAGTCAGCGATCTAACCCACTCAGCCACCGAGACTTCCACATTGGTTACACTGGTTATACTATACCAAAATTTGTTGTACTGCCGCAATCTTGTGCGATCCAAACATGAAAATCCCATTTCTAATAGCAGCAAAACAACCATGCACTTCTCAGTTGTGGCTGCTTTTTCATCATATGATTTCAACATATACTGAACAACAAACGTTCCTGTGACATTGAATAAGATTTAATGCAAAGTTATGTTTTTTACCAAATCTGAAACAATTTCGGTTTGCAACAGATAAAAGACTCCTGTAAGTGTTCAAATGGTTTGATTTGCCATACTGACTTCAGAAAATGCGTGAATTCATAAAAAAACCATGAACATGCCAAAATGTCAATTTACAAATCAATAGCGTGTGTGTCCACCTCTGGTTGCGATGCAAGCAACACATCTTCGTCTCATGGAATGGACCAGGCGTCGCACAAAGTCCTGTGGGATATCTGTCCATATCTGCTGGAGCATGTTTCGAAGTTCCTGGACTGTCTGTAGAACACGTGGTTGACGTCTAAGGCGCCGATCCATCTCATCCCATATGTGCTCGATTGGTGCGAGATCAGAGGAGCGAGGCGGCCAGGGGATGACATTCACGTTGTTTTGTTGAAGAGAATCCTGAACAAGTCGAGCAATATGAACCCGGGCGTTGTCATGTTGAAAGGTAATGCCTGGGCCATGACGACGCAAAAACAGTAGAACAACAGGGCCGATGATCTCGTCCTCTACCACTATCAAATGGGTCTTCTGTCTTGCTGTAATCCCACCCCATACCATAACGCTGCCGCCCCCGAACCGATTTTCTTCCATGACACAATGATTGACGTAACGTTCACCTCGACGTCGGTACACTCGAATCCGTCCATAGCTGTGGCTGAGGTGAAAATTAGACTCGTTAGTGAATAGAACTTGTCCCAGTGCATGGCCGTCCAGCGTTCACGATGTCTGCACCACTGTTGACGTGCTTGACGGTGGTTTCCTGTCAAAATGGGACGTCTGGTGGGTCTTCTGGCGACAATCCCTGCACATCTGAGGCGACGACGTACGGTTTGTGAAGATGGATGCTTCTTGCAGTCACTGTTGCTGGCTGGAATCGATTTTGTAGGTTGTTCGAATCAAGTTGTCTTGTCGATTATTTGTTACGCGTGGCCTGCCACTCCGAGGATGGTCTCTGACTGCATTCGTCTGTTGCCAACGTTGCCATAAACACCAAATGGTGTTTCTGTGGACGTTAAATTGTCTTGCAACATCACGTTGACTCAACCCTGCTTCGAGCATACCAATGGCTCGCAGACGCTCATTTTTGGACAGGCTTGGCATTTCGTAATGTTGAATAATTGCGTAATTTTGTTGTTTTTCTGAGTGGTTGTTGCCAGCACGATGCTAAACAATGCATATGGAATCCCGTTAACGCACATGTTTTTATACCCATTCTTGGGTAGTGAAATGCATGGCGCTTGCATAAAAGTCAACTTTGCATGCTTTTCTGTAGCAGTTTATGTGACTTGATTCCATACATGTACTACAATATTGAAAACCAAACTTTACTTGTTTGAAAAATACACTAAAATATTGGTGTCACAGGAACTTTTGTTGTTGAGTATATATCATAACATGATTTTCTCCATCTCACATCTTTGGTAACAGATTCTGGTAGACTGACTATCCATGCTGTTACAAGAAGTACATTTATCATCACGATGTGTCATAGAAGCATTAAGACTTTCATCAAACCCATCATTCCTATCACAACGAGCCAGGTTTAGTAAATCCTCAAAATAGATAAGCCACATCTATGAGATATGCATCTTCTCATTACTGTTCTGCTGTAGTGAATTTATTTCAAACAGAAAATTGTTACAACCACCATCTGTAACTGCTGTGCGAAACATATTTAGAGGACAAAAATCCCTACACTTTGCGATCTCATCCTTTATCAAACGATTTGGGTTGTTACAATCAAGCTACTGGGCCGTGTTTGGGAACCTTAATAAGAAGAGGAACGATTACAATCAAGCAGTTCGCTGTCAGTTGTGTTGTGTTTACAATACACAATACAAGAGATAGAACAACAATACAAGGCATATAGAATGATAATAATACATGGAACATATAGAATAATGATTGAACAATCGAATAAGCAACGGTTATAATACTTGAGGGGGAAAGCTGGCAAGGTAGGGGATATAGCTATAATTTGAACTAACCACACTTACATATCAAGAAAGGACATTACATCACGATTTATGACTGCATTTGTAAGTAAAATAAATATAAATACGCTTGGCTTATTACGTCTGAAGTAGGACGCGCTATTTACTAAATGTATATATACATATACAATAACGATATATACGTAATAACAATAACCTCAACCCAAGTATTATAAACAATGATATAATTGTATAACAATAGGAGCCGAAGGATATGAACGGTATTGGTATATTTTAAGATTTCTCACGACGATAGATTTGATTACATAAATGCTTTGTCATCCTGTGTATCAAAATATAATACGTTGAGTATCTGAGAAACAGTTTCTGTAACGGCCGAACATTAGATATGCAGATTAACTGTCTGCGCCGGAGTGTGTGTATAACCGTGACCTCTGTCACTCCGGAACTTCTTTTTTTATTCATAAAAAAAGCGCGAGACGTCATTCTATTTGCAACTATGCTGAACTGAAGCAGTCTCATGAAAGCGAGAGACATTTACATGCACTTTATAAAGCCAAACAAGATTGTCACACGCACCAACCTCGCTTTGCGTATTAGTTATGCACAGAGCTACTACAGGCATTATATAATCGCGAGGGTACACATGAGCATGACGCACCCAACAACTTTCTCGACTTTCAATTTGATTTAACATAAAAGGATAAGCGTGGTGAAATGAAGTCAGTTTTAATTATCTGGATATATATCTGGACTTACGTTGGATGCTCCGGCTGTGCTATCAGTGTCCCCTTTGGAGCGTTATTGTTTCGGCACGGTTTCGGGAGATGTTTGTTCATGAATAAACATACACGACTGCACGACCAGATCACTCAAAGTGAAAAGTTCCGATACAAATCATTTAAAACTTCTCGTGAGGACGATCTTGTGTGTTTAAGAATTCCATCAGCTTTTTGTGTTAGAACTGCACATAACCCGACAGGGCTGGCATCAACATACAGTTTTGATTGATCTTGAGGATTAAAATAACTCAATGTTGTTGCTTTACACAGTTCTTCTTTCAGTGTGTTCAAGGCATTTTGCTGTTTGTCTGTCCATTGCCATTGGGTCTATTTACAAGTAAGTTTACAGAGGAGCTAATATGTGAGTGTTGCATAATGTGGAATAAGACGAGAACCACAAAAGTTCATCATACCCAACAAACTTTTCACCTTTGACACATTTGTAGGTGGTGGCATGTTTATGATTGCAGACAGTTTTGCCTGTGATGGTTTCATGCCACTCCCACTGAATACATGCCCAAAGAATTCAATGGAGTTCTCATTGAAAATATTTCTCACGGTTTAAAGTCAGTCCTCTTCCACGGAGCCTTTTAAACAATGCATGAAGATTTTCATCATGCGACTGTTCATCTTTTCCATACACAAGAATATTCTTTTACATCTGGAACAACACAAATGATCGCTTCAGCTGATGCAGTTTTAGATTCTATGGTAGCTCTAAGTCTGCCTACAGTCACAGGTTCTTCTTTTCCATATGGAACACTTTTGTTATGCATGAATCTAACTGAGGCTTTGGAATCAGCGTATTGTACACAGTTTCTGATATTGTGTTGATTGACGCAGCAAGCATGACGATTGATTGTCCATCTACTTTCATCTCGAATTTTGGACATTTGT